TATAATAGACAAGACTCCAGAAATTCAATACAAGAACAAAATATGAACAGCTACTAAAGAAAACAAACAAATCATCTACCCAGTAAAGCCCACCAGCATCACAGCAAACTTTTCAAGAAAACAAACCCTCAAATCAAGGAGGACTTGGAGTAAAGTAGGTCCTGCCTTTAAATAAAACAACCTCCAAAACAGGTTTTTCATCCTTTGACTTTGAATCTTTCAATTTCTTGCTTGCTTTCTTGTTTCTTTGTCTCCTTCCCTGCTCTTTTTTTTGGGGAGCGAGGAGTCCCACTATTTAGTTCAGTCTGGCCTTGAACTGACTATGTAGCCCAGGATGGTCTTGAACTTACGGCAATCCTCCAGCCTCAGATTGATTTCTTTTGAATTAAATGTGTTGCTTCTGTGCAGGATGCAATTGGATCTTGCTTCTGATCTATTCTATCAGTTTGTTTCTTTTGATTGGTAAATTGAAACCATTAACATTGATCGTTATAACTAGCATACATTGACTTATCCTTATCATGTTACTTTCCTGCTGTTGGCTACCTTTTTTTTTCCTGTTTAATTGCTTGCCTTGCCTGATGGATTCATGCTATTCATGTTTATGGAACTTTAAATCCTTGTTATGCCTTTCTAAAATGTCCTCTAGATAACTTGTAGTGCTAGTTTGATGGTCATGAATTTCTTCAGGTGTTCTTTTACACAGAAGTATCTTATTTGTCTATTTTGAAAGGATTCACTACTGAATTCTACAAGAAATTTAATGAAGATATAATACTGTTACCTCTCAATCTCTTTAATGAAATTGAAAGGGAAGCAAACCTCCCAAATTCACTCCTGGAAGCATGATTTAACCTGATGCCCAAACCAGAGAAGGATCCAACCAAAAAAGAGAAATACAGGCCAATCTCTGTGATTAAAATGTATTTTATTTTATTTTTTTAAATATTTATTTATTTATTTATTTAGTGTCTGTGTGTGGCCAGCTCAGCCCACCAGGGGGCGGGGCTGGCTGGCATGTGGTGCTGGGGGATTGAACCGCAGTCCCTGTGCTTCGCTTGGCTTAGCTTGTTCTAAGTAGGTGCTTTAGACCACCGAGTCATCTCACCAGCCCTAAAATGTATTTTAAAATGCTTCAAAAGATACTGGAAATGCATAAAAGCATCTAGGTCATATACCATGACCAACTAGGATTCATCCCAGGGGTGCAGAGATACTTCGTCATATGCAAATCAAAAAATATAATACAACATATTAACAGAACCAAGGATAAAAACCATATGATCATCTCAATAGACACAGAAAAAACCATTTGTAATAACTAACACCCATTCATGATAAAAACTACATAAAACTGGAATAGATGGGTCTTTATATCAATCTGATAAAAGCCATCTATGACAAACCAAAAGCCAACGTCATATTAAATGTTCAAAAATAGTAAGTTTTCACTCTAAAATCAGGAACAAAAACAAGGTTCTCTATTACCACCATTCCCATTCAATATAGTTCTAGAGACAGTGCAGCTGGACAAGAGAAATGAATAAAGAGAAAAAAGGAAAGAGAAGAAATTATATTATTATGATTTGCAGATGACATACTGTGCATAGAAGACCCTCAAAATCTGCTAAAGACTTCTAAAAATTACCAAAATCAGCAGTACAGCAGGAGGAACAGTGAACACTCAAGAATCAATAGTGTGATACATCAATAATAAATTCACTGAGACAAAGATTAGAGAAACAACACTTTTCACAACTGCATCCAAAAAAAAGAAGCAAATAGCTAGGAATCAATCTAACAAAAAAGTACAGTAACTCTACATTGAAAATTACCAGGGACTGGGGAAATAGAAAATTATAATACTCTCAAAAAAAGTGATTGAAAGGATATCAAAAAATGGAAAGATATCTCTTCCTCTTGGGTAGGAAGCACTAATATATAGAAAAATGACTATAGTTAAAATATTGTTATACGGACAGATTGTAAACCCAATCAAAATTGTAACAGCCTATCACACATAAAGAAAACACAATCCAAACATTAATTTAGAACTAGAAGACACTTAGAATAGCAAATTTTAGACAAGAAAGGCAAACAGGCGCATCATAACTCCTGACAAGAAACTATACTGAAAAGTTACTGTAATAAAAACAGCACAGGGCTGGTGAGATGGCTCAGGGGTCTAATGCACCTACTTAGAACAAGATTAGCAAAGCACAGGGACCGCGGTTCAATCCCCCAGCACCACATGCCAGCCAGCCCCGCCCCCTGGTGGGCTGAGCTGGCCACACACAATAAATAAATAAATTTAAAAAACAAAACAAAACAGCACAGTAGTGGCAGAAAAAGATTCAAGAATCAATGGAACATATTAGAAGACGCAGAAACTACTCCAAACCTACTCAGCCACCTAAACTTTCACAAAGGGACCAAACACATTCATTGGAAGTAGACTCTTTGATAAATGGAGCTGGGAAAACTGGCTTTTCACATGCTGAACAATTAAACTAGACCCATATCTATCTATCTACCTTTCTTTCTTTCTTTCTTTCTTTCTTTCTTTCTTTCTTTTTTTTTTGCATTTTACAGAAGGGTCTACAGGGTGTTCAGGGTCTCACTACTAGATTGGACTCCTAGTGACCCACCTGTTTATAGCCTCCCAAGAGCTGGGATTACAGGCGCCTACCACTACACCCAGTCTCAATAGTTATCTCAGCATGCCCCGGGGCAGGGCTGGCGTGGGAGGCCCAGTGATTGAACTCCAGTCCCCTGCACCTGCTTGCAGGAGTCTTAATCTGCTGAGCTATTTGGCTGGCCCTAAGAGCCATATCTTTCATGATGCATTAAACTAAAACTGAAATGGAGCAAAGATATAAATAATAAAACAGAAACAGTAAATCTTCTGGAAGATAGAACATGCAGAGCTCTTGAAGATATTAGTATAGGCAAAGACTAGGAACAAACCCTAATCACACGGAAACTATGACAAAGAATCTACAACTGGAATCTTATTAAAAAGCTTTTGCACAGCAAGAGAAATTAACCACAGAGTGAAGAGACAACACATATTTTAGGGAATAAATGTTTCCAGCTCCTCCTATGACAAATGACTAATATGTAGAATATATAAAGAACATACACTCATGCACCAAAAAAAATCACAGCCCCCAAATTTAAAGACTCAATGCAAAAATGGGCATCTAAAATCAAAGGATGCTGCTCAGATGAAGTAGAAATGGCAAATAAATATAAAAAATGTTCACTTTCATACGTCATTCGAAATATGAATATTACAATAATGCTGAAATTCCATCTTACACCAGAAAGATTGGTTATTATTGAGAAATCCACCAATAAACAATGCTAGCAGGGCTGTGGAGAAAAAAGAATACTTCTTCACTGTTAGTAGGAGTGCAGACTGCTATAATCACAGTGGAAATTAGTATGGGGATTACTCAAAAATTTACAACTAGAGGTTCCCTTTGGCTCTCCCCTTCTTGGTATCTTTTCAAAAGAATTAAAAGTGTCATACCACAGCAATATAAGCACACCCATGTTTACAGTGGCACAACCAATGAATGGATAGATAAGATGGCAGTACTTTTTTTTTACAGTAGAGTACTACTCAGCCATAAAGGATAAACATTTTTTGGCAAATGGATGCACCTTGAGACAATAATCTTAAATGAAAAAAATCGGACACACATGTACCAATACAACATAGTTTCTCTGCTGTAAGAAATTTAGAGTCTACATACGGACCAAAATATATAATAGATGTTGTTAAACATGAAGTAAATATTCAAATGGGAAGAGGAACCAAGGAGGGCACAGGAAAAAGAAATACAAAAGGAGAGAAGGAAGCAAAAGTGCAACAAAGTGTTGCAAATAAGGAGGGGAGAAGGGATTAAAGGGAGGACAGAAAAATGGAAAAAAATAATCAAGGTATATCACATACAGGAACACATTCCCTAAGATAAATGTGTCCATTATGTGTCCTTAAAATATATCACTAAGGGCCGGCCAGATAGCTCAGTGGATTTAAGTGCCTACTTAGGCAGGCGCAGGGGCCAGGAGTTTGATCCTCGGGCCTGTGGTGCTCCCCTGGGGCATGTGGAGACAGCAATTGAGACTGGGCGTGGTGGTGCATGCCTGTAATCCCAGCTCTTGGGAGGCTGTGAACAGGAGGATCACTACAAGTCTGAGCTATGTAGTGAGACCCAGTAGAGCCTGTCCTAAAAACACACAAAAAAAGAATAAAACAAACATCAACCCAAACAATTACTCAATCACTATTAACTGTACTAAAGAATAAATTCGCCAGCGAGTGAGTGAGACGACC